GTGCTTCAACCTATAAATCAAGGACAACAAAACTCAACCCAACTCTGACAAAGGATTGAGCACAAGGATTTCAGGAAATTAAATCAAGGATGCACCACAAAAAAACAAGCTCAGCCTTCTCCCTACTCCTGGCTAAACAGCTCCACTTCCCTGCTAGTGCAGGTTTTGAGCAGCCTCAGGGCAGGTCTTTAGCCTAAGGCAGTATTTTGGTTCCCAAACTACACAGCTGTTGATACAGAGTATTCTGATAGGGGCAAAACAGAACCTCCTCATCTTTCCAATTATAAATATCAGATAAGTAAGCAAGTCAGAGCTGCTGTCACCGCTGTGGTACCTCAGCCCACAAATCTCTGCAATACCTCCCTACAAATTACTGAGTTTTGAGATGATGTTTCCCACATTAACTGAGTCAAAGGGAGTAAAATACCTCTTACAGCACTATAAAACTGTCACTGTTGAGAAGTATGCAGAAGAAAAGTTCTTTAAAGCGTATGTGTTCACTAAACAGAGTAGCTTTCAAGAGGTGGTCGGTGTAACTGAGAGCAGTTCAGAATCCAACACACCTGACAAGTTCCCTCTTTTCCAGCAGATACAGGAGGGAATTCAACCTTTCTCTCCTGGTGGATGAAATTCTAAACATACATCACAACGTCCCTCGTTGTCAGAAGGGGGAACAAAATGGAATCAAAGCCTTTGGTCTGGCAGGGGTTCCTTGGGGATGCACAGCTCTATTTCAGTAACTTGCAGAAACACACAGCAGTATCACTCTGCCCTACCTGCTGAGGCAACAGCAGTTGATCACAGCAAAGGAAAACATCTCAGCAAGCAGCATGGAATTCCAGTTTATTTATTGGCCTCCTGGTCCCTGAGATGCCAACCCCTGCGCTAAAACTTCAGCAGCATCATGGCAACCAAGAGCATGGACAGCAGAGCCAGAGGAGGAGGAGGAGCCTTCAACGCCAGCAGTGGCTGTGGAACGGGAAGGATTCAGTTCAGCAAAGCAGAAATCCCTTCTGGTGCAGCCGGAGTAGTCTTGGATGCAGCAGTGACAGCATCAGCCCTGCAGATACTGAAGTGTGCCTGCATTTCTATCACACATTTGTGCATACTATCACAGCACCACTTTCTTACAAGACCATTTCTACCAGATCAATGCTCTAAAGTGTAATCTTCTCCTGACCACAAACAGTTGACTGGAAAGGGATTGATCTTAATTCAGAACCAGCTCAAAAGGATCCTTTCTTTCCTTCAGTATTCTGTGCACTCACTCTACAACTGGTTTCTAAGCAGGGACTGGTTTCTAAGCAGTGTCCCAGGGCCAGGCTGGGCACACTCAACACACCACTGTCCACACTAGAATTGAGGCATTCTTCAAAAATTACTTAAATAGCCAATTAGTTCTTCTTAAGCACCTCAGTAATTTACTGAGACTATTTACTGAGAAGTCCAAACAGTACGAGATGTTAAAGGCTGAAGCCTCTTTGGGCTTAATATCAGAAGTAACAGACAAACTATTTCCTAAAATTTGGCTTCCAGTTACTGTGAACTGGCCTGTCAGGTGCTCTATACCCGTTGCTTATGAAACCAGAGCCCTCATGTATAAATACCAGCAGGCGTGCAGGATTTCAGTCTATTTTAAACAAGAATTTGATACAAGATACTACCTTTGAAGCTGGGATTTAATTTTAGTAATAGTCAAGAACAATTTATTACAAAACAAACAGACCCAAAGACTTTCCAAGTGGTATTTAGAGAGAAGGGTTTTAATCTACCACTGAAATCCCAGGATGGAGCAGAGCAACTGGCTAACAGCACACGATGAGCAACAACTGGATGCCAACAAAACTACTGCCTTCAGCTGTAAGTGCTGGTGGAAACTTCTGAACTTAGACAACACAATTATTTTGTCTGGAAGCAGAAGGAACAAGAAACAATTATATGCTGGGTTTATTATGTACAGGAGCAACCTGGTCAGTGGAGGGTGTCCCTGCCCATGGCAGGGGGGTGGAACTGGATGAGCTTTCAGGTCCCTTCCAACACAAACCACTCCCTGATTCCACAAAAATGCAGTAAGAGTAAATTTTGTTGATGGGAACTGCACATCAGTAGAGTATTTTCTTCAAGGACACTTGTTTTCAATGGTAGGTGCTGTAACTAACACAGCGAGAAGGGCATTTACATGATTTTTATTACTACATAACTCTAAATCAAGCAACAAAGAATCAGAACATTTTAGTCCCCGTGGTTATTCTTCCAACACACAACCTCTGTTGAGTGCTACAGCTCCACACCACCAATTTGAAGTTCATTATCAGTGTGGCTTTCTCAATCCTTTATAGCAGCAGCCAACTGGCTCAAAGCTGTCCACAGACCCCTCTCAGGATGGAAGCCTGGTTTGTACAACCTGACCCAGCAAGAGCATAAACACCTAACAAGATCGATAAGGAGGTGATGGAACACCACAGCGCACACACACTCTGCATGCTCAAATGAAGAAACAGGAGTTGGCACACAGAGCATCCTGAGCTGGATCAGGATTGATTGATTAGACGTCACAGGAGGCTCCCAGCAGCTCAGACCGGCAAAGCTCAGGTACTGAACACACACCAAGCAGTCTACTGAAGCACCTATGCTTCATGAACTGGCAACACAATGTCACTTCCAAGAGCAATAAAGAAGTGGCAATGCCTGTTGCTACAGGCAACTCACAACCTCTTTTTCATCTGATTAAATTCTGGCTTTTAGACATACTTGTTCCCCAAGTAGGACTCCGCAGCAAAGCCCCTGACCTCAAATACAACCTGTCTGTATCTTCACCTGACCAAAATCTCCTGTGTGAAACTAACCACCGAATGGAAAGATTTCTGGCAACTCCTACAAACAGGATATGCTCTCTTGGACCTCGACCTTGCTTGATCCACCGGTCACACTGCACACAACTCCCCACAGATTTATCTTGGTCACTTTAGAAAGTGGGGTACCTTTGTGATTACCAAAAGGAAGTTGGAAGCAAGAACACCAGTGTTCCATTAATTCACTGTCACGGAGTGACCGCAGGATAGTTGCTGAACTTGTCTTTGTCTCAGTTTCTCCATCTGCAAACACTATGTGGAAATCTCCTCATGAAAGGAACTGCCATCCTGCTTTATCTTAGAAAAACAGCCTATAATGATGGAACTTTTTTATTTGAATTGGCATTTCTCTCCAATTTAACTAGAAGTCAAGTACCCTCCAAAGAGAGTGCCAAAGTAAGCAAGTTGCAACAGAGGAGCTCAAGGTTGCACACCTATTGCATTACAGCTCTCCGATGCCAGGCAGCATCCTAAAGGTTGCTTGAGTTTCTTGCCCTCCTACTGTCTGTTTCCACACTAATGATCATGTGTTCATCCAGTTTCTTCTCTTCCTAAAATATATATAGTTACAGGGCTAGAATTTTTCCTGCTGCAAAATTACCTTTTGTGCTGCCAAACTGGCAGCCTTTGGAAAGGTAATCCCCTTTAAATTTGCTTTAAGATTTTACATCTGTTATGTTAGTGCCAGCTGGCTGAACATATCCATCAGCAGGACCAGAACAACTCAGCAAAGCATGGATTCAGAAATGCATTTCCTTCCTTACCATGCTAAGAAGGTTTGCAAACAGGGGACTGTCAAGTGCTGCGGTAAATCTGGGTCTTGGGAAGCCTTTTTAACATATCCAAAATGACATTTTGGATGTGTCACATATCCATTTTCATCAACAGAACAAGCAGACATGAAACAACTGCAGGGTAGTGGGAATTCAGATGATGGAAAGCATTAAACTGGAAGGACGCAAGAAGTGGAGCTTTGGTAAGGATTCATTCCAACACCAACACTTTGTCATTTATCAGTTATGAGCTTACCATCAAATCAGGAATGACTGAAGATGCTTTGGAATCAAGAATCTAATTCTAAAGGCATTTGACAAGGTGGCAAAGTAACCTGAAATGAGCTGCTGCAATTCAGCGGTGATAGGTGCAAATAATACTACACCTAGTAAAAGATAACTTTATCAGCATTCAGGGTGTGATTGTTCATGGACTGCTGTTCCCCACATACATCACCTCCTTGCTCTACCCAGCACTTGGCAAGGCCTCAAGTACAGCACTGGCCACCAGACCTCCTGGGATGTGGGAAACAAAGGAAGGGGACATGGAAGATACTGACCAGACACCAAGAAACATCTGTATACACTGAAAAGTACAAGACACCTCCTCTGTAACAGAGCAAATCCAACGGACACATCCCACTAGTGGTATGCAAACCACCACCACTGTAAAAATAAAGGGGCCTTTTGACAGAGAAATATTAACACCAGGACCTCAAAAGCCCAACTTCATAGTTCATTTAAGCCACAAAGAACGAGGAGCAGGAGCAACATCACCCTTCTCCCAGCCAGAAGGCCAACATCAGCCTGAGCCTCAAGCAGCAGCAGCTATCACGGCAAGTCTTGGCTCATCACCACCCTGCAGGGTGACAGCCTTTTATTTAACCATCAACAAAACTTTCTCCATCCAAGCCAAAAAGCAATATGGAGTCATTGACCTTCTCCAGGGGTGATGCCAATTCTCTGGCTACATATAAAACAGCAAATCCCACATAAAGACATAATAAGCAAATAACATTCTTGTTCTCAAGGAACATGACCCACCTGAAAGACACACAAGTGAAACCTGTAAAGATCTCAGTCGACAACTTTCTGAAAAGCAGGACAAGAGACAGGCAGTGCCCATAAACCCACCACAACACTCAATAGCCGAGGTGTCTGAAAGGTGCTCAAGGAATTGAAGCACAGCTATTTCATTAAAACCAACAGAAAAGAGAAGGTTTTGATACAAATAAACATACAAGAGGTCATTTAGAAATAGAATGCCAGAAGATGTTTTGGGACAACAAAAACTGGAGCCAAACCTGGATATAAAGTTGAATCTTTGGAATGGATGGGGTAAGAAGACTGAATCCAGGTACTGTTTTATCCATACCTCATATGGGTTGCCAGGCCATCTTGAGCATTGGGAAGTCCTAAGTCTGACAGGGAATCTGAGCACACAGATACAGGCGACAAAGACCTCTCCTTCTCCTCTAGCAGGTCAAGTTTCACCAAGGAGCTTGTCTCATCTTCCGAGTTATCCTCTGACACAGAGCCAATAATAAAGCGAGAGTGGGGGTTCTCCACAGGTTTGGTGGGTTGGGAAGACTCTTCCATGGCTCCTACAAATTGGGCTCTCAGCACTGTAAGGGACAAAAGAAAGCCAAAACACAAACCCTGAGGTTAATAAGGTGCTTTGCAGTCCACCCTCTGCTCTGATTCAACAGAATCATCAGAGCTGTAACCAACATAATAAGATCATTTCCTGCGAGGTTAGCATGTGGAACAGGAGCAGCAAGGGGATCAGACAGAAAGACACTGGTAAGGAATGATGGAGCCAGAAGTAAAACCTCCCCTTTTTGGCAGCAGTGAACTGTCAGACTGGCTCAGCCATTTTCCGTACCTTCAACCTGACTTTAACCTCTTGGTCCCACAACATCCATATCAATTAGGGGATAGTATCCACCTTATGGTAATATATTGAAACTTAGTGGCATGATTTACAATTGTCACAGGAAAATACAGAAGTTCAGGTCTCCATTTTCCATTAAAAGTTATTACATAGAGAAGAATCTCTTCATACAGAGAACTCTATCAAACATCCAGTGTTGTTCCAACAGGGAATGAATGTGTTTTCTTCAAAGTTAAAAAAGAATAGAATAATTACAACTGAGAAATGACAGATAGAGAAACCAAAGGAGTACCTCACAGCATACAGACAGGTGGGATGGGACAGCTCTGATAGCCCTGCTCTGCCGGGCTTCCAGGCACTTACACGGTAATTACATGCAGCTGGAAATCACAGCATTATAAGATCAGGTGTGCACCAACCTCTTGTTATCCTTGCCAGCTGAGCAGTTATCCACTTCCAAATCGAACTGGAAAATAAAAGAATTAACAAGCACATATTATTATAAAGAAGAATTCTCTGTGTTTTCCAAACTACCTGAATCTTGGAACAAAAAGCTGTTATTAAAAAGCCACAGGTACCAAACTGACTTGATGGGCTTGCTCCAGGTCACAGAGTACCAAGGAACTGAGCCTGCCAGTCAAGTCTCTCTGGCACCTTCTGAGCAAGGTGTTGGCACACACCTCATCATCCCATGTGTATTTTAGTTCTGCTTCTAGAAGAAACTATGCTTTCTGCCAGTGCTATCTACTTATGTCAATCTTTCCCTGTCAGCTTCTGAATGTGCTACTGCCTTCAGCTGCATTGGATGGTCAGGAGTAAACCCTGATAATTAGAAATCTCATGAGGAACTGGTGACAAGAAGACACAGCTGACACTAGTTCACCAGTAAAACAAACCATGATACAGCAACACAGACAAGGGCAAGATGAGGGGATATTCACTTCAGGGTCCCATTCTCCCAAGATGGACTTCACTATGCAGAAGGACTCTTTTGATGCCCTTAACTCCCAAGTGACATCTACATCCTAAACCGACACAAAAACCTCAGCGGTCCTTGCTAATGATAGCCATGTTATGCCAAGTACAGGGATGCAGCATGGTATGCTTGATAGGAACATGACAGCTTTCATCTGGTACACAAGCAAAACTGAACCATGTTATAACACAAGTAAGACATGACAGTAGCTTTAATTAGAGCACAGACAAGGAATTTACAGGCAGTGCAATCCTTAAACACGGTGCTCTTTCTTTTCATCACTGAGAATGAGAAACTGATCCAACTGGCTCATGCACTTTTACCATGAATGTACTTGCCTGAACTATGTACACCCCAACTTGTGTTGACATCATTACTCCCACAAACTCCAGTTTCACTGCGGCCACAGGTGGTTCATTTTACAGACACACTTGATCATTTTGTGACCAAAATGCCACAAATATCTGTCTGAAAGGGTCACCGATAGGGTGGCAATGGATATGAAGGGGAAGCGTGGCTGCAAAGCCCACATACCCATCAGTGACTAAATCGATGCATAAACTAAACCATACAGGAAGACTTCTTTAGCTGAGGTGCTTGGGCAGGACTTGCAGCTCAGACAGCACTGAGTGTAATCCAATCTAGTTTGTGCATATAAACCTGGAGACAATATTTACATGTTTATTTAGTCTGGCATCAAATCACATTCAGACAATTTACTGCTGGCACAGCTACCAGTGCTGAAGAACCTGGGATACAGCCAAAGCAGCTTCAATGCTTTCTTAATGAATGAAAACTTTTTCTCATATCAAGGACTTACACGTTAATAAACAAGTTTTGAGGCTTTGTTTTCTCCTTGCTAAGCAGAGAAGGAAACAGAGGAAGAGGCAGTGAAGTGTTTCACTCCAATACTCCAGCAGAAAGCACCAAACTAACACCACAGTTCCTGAGCCCCGGTGTTGCTCAAGCATCTTGTTTGTACAACTCTGTTCAAAAGCAGTTAGTTATCCATGAAGGCCCATTCAAATTCACTCACCAACACACTTCCAACCCACTCCAAAAGCCAGGAGTCCCACTAACGTTTTGCAATCAGCTGGGAACTCAGCACTGCTCTGAATTAGACATAAGCTTGCTCTCAGCACACATTATTCACAGTTAAATTAGTATCAGCATTGTCTGGGGCTAAACAAAATGTAGACTTTCTCAGAGATGTCTTCACAGAAGCCTTTTTGCTTTCAGTGCTGCACCTCACCAAACCTCTGCACGTTATATTCTCTGCCTGAGACATAACTGCCCCAGCTCCTAGCACGCATATTGAATTCAGCTGACCACCAAGACAAGGCTCACATACCATTAACCAGTGTGGATGTACTCTTTGTTTTAATAATGATGAACCAGAGCCTAAAACCCCAAATAGTCAGGACCCTCAACATAGCCCCTAGACATAGTTTTGCAGGCAACAGGCTGGCACACAGGCTAACTCTGCAGAGAGACCGGAAAAACCCCTGTGATTTACAGAAGGATTTGGATTGAGAATTCAACCCTGCAGATTTAAGAGCACGTAACACTGAGCACTCTGAGCCTGCTCAGCTACAGAGATACGTTTAATGACAGCTGAACCTACACAGAGCCCAAGCCGTGCTGCCCTCCCTCCTCCTGAAGGGATCAGCCCGTGTTACAGGTCTGAAGACATCCAGCACTTCCGTAACTCCCCAGCTTTGCTGGCATCGTGGTGTAAGACCCAAATGGCGTTCACGCTACAAGCAATGAAAACTCTGCAATCCAAATTCAAACAGTAACGTATCTGGTTTTGCCTGAGGCTCTACTATCATTAGTACAATGTTTGGCCTGACAGGGAACAGTGACAGCCTTTGCAAGTTTCTTTAACAGTTTCATTTTAAGCTCATTCTTACTATTACCCAACACATTAAGGCACAAAAATAATGTCAGTTGGAAATTCAGCTTCTACTATTTCCAAGCCATCCCATTCTGAAGATAATTATACTTTTGAAAAGGGCATTATTTCAGCGAAAACGAGCTATAGGTTCTGTCAAAGACTCAGAATAGCACCTCTATGATATGTCATATGAAAAGGAAATTAACAGAACTGGTTTTATTTCAAGGTTTCCCGTTTACAGGCCAGGGATCTGTGCCTTCAACCCAGCCCCTACTGAGCTTAGGGGGGTAAAGAACACAAATATAAAACAACAGAATGGATGTGTATTTTCACCACCCAAACTGAATGAGTAACAGAAAGCAAAGGACCAACAAAGGTACAGACAAAGTAAAAACCGATGTATCTGCATAACAAGTTGAGTACTTAACAGCTTTTACTGATCACCTGGAAGCAGGGCTCCAGGTTGGGAATGGGCACAGGGATGAGTTTTGCACCAAGAGGAACCACCACACACCAAACCCAGGTTGCTCCTGCCCATGTCCCACCAGGTCAGCTCCCTGCAGCACCAGTTTGGTGCAGCTGATGGGTCAAACCCTGCTCCCCCCGGGCCGTGCCTCTCAGTTAATAACTGCACTTCGCTTCACTCCCTACCCTAAAACATTCTCTGCAAGTACCAAGCACCCTGTGAAGCTCTTTTGCTTCCAATGTATCGAAAGGTACTTCACAAACTGCATGTCCACAGGTTAGAAGTTCCACTCTGTTTCCAGGTTTACTGTATCAAGCTTAGACACATAAACATACAAGTGGAATTTATGCTTCCTAGGTCTCCTCAGGTAAATATGTCTATGTCTCCCCAGAAGAACTTGATGACCACAAAAGTGCCGGTATTTACAGCCATCCTAATCTGTCAAGACACTCAAGAGTATGTGTAAATCCCATTGTCTCTGGGAGAACTGGGCATAACCTGAATAGTTTGCTGATCACCTACAGATAAATTGGCACAGACCACACTATTGCTTTGAAATACGCCACGTTAAAAAAGGTTAATAACCCATTTTAAAACTTCCTCCGGCAGATTTAAGCGACACCACAAAAAGAGAGGTGACAATAACGATGTTTTGCCCTGCAAATACGCTTTTATAACTTAATTGTTCCTAAGTACTCCGCAGCACCTTCGGGAGGGCATTCCCAGGCCCTCCGAAGAAACGGGCCCGAACTCTTCCCTTGAGATCCTGACATGCGATCAGGGATGGGAGGATGCTGGGGATGAGGAGCGATGCCTCAGCGGGCAGAGCAGCGCCGGCCCCACGCTGGTCTGGCGGTGAATTAGCCCTCTCGCAGGAGACAAAACCACAATCAAAACCATGCTGCCTTCATGCCGCGTTGTTTCGCGCTGGAGCAGCGGGGAAGCCCCACGAGGGACGGGGCCGGGCCACAGCGCGGCCATGGGCAGCAGCGGGGCACCAGGAGGAAACGAACCAGGCTTCCGGTCGGCGGGCGCGGCCCCACGCCGCTTCCCCGCTGCTGGATACCCCCATCCCACCTTCCAGGACCTAAGGCCGCCCTGCAGAGCCTACAGCCCCGAGCACCGCGCCCTCCAGACAGCACAAAGCGGCCGGCGCGACTCGCCTCAGCACAGCACAACGTGAGCGGATCATCCCGCGCTCCCCCGGGCCCGGCCCCGCCCAGCCCCACGGGCTCACGCAGCACCGCCCGGCGGGACGCCGGTGACCGGTGCCTCCCGGTCCTCCAGCGCGGGGTCCCGGCGAGCGGGCCGCGGTGCTCACCTCAGCGTGCCGGGCGCTGCGGAGGCGCGGCGGGCCCCCGACCTGGCGGCTGGGCGGTGGAGCGGGCGGGGGCGCGGCGCGGCGCCCCCATCCACCGCCAGGCCACGCCCCCTTACACAGGCCACGCCCCCCACTCGTCCGGCCACGCCCCCGCGGTGGTGTGATGCATGGAGTTACCTCAGGTCAGACACCTCCAACCTTGCCCCGCCTGCGCCGCTCCCATTGGCTGCCGGAGGGAACACTGCGGGGGGCGTGACCAATCAGGCGGCGCGTGCGGGCGTGGCCAATGAGGAGACGCCTATGGCCTGAGCGGCCGGTTGGACCCGCCCACTGGCTCCCGGTGCTGGGGAGGGGTGCCGGTGGCCGGGCTGGCCTGTACGCACCAGAGGTCTCCCCCCCCGCCACGCCCGGTCTCTGTTTTCGCGGGACCCCCGGGGCTCCCCACACCGGTCCCCAAACCGCTGTGGTACCCGCACGGTGCGGGCCGCACCACCGGCAAGCAACAGGGCTGATAACGGGGCCCTGGACCGGACACCGAGCAGCAGGATCCCCCCTCGCCCCCGGCTCTGCACCGCCCGGCGGGGAGGACCCACGTGGAGCGGGAACACCGGCCCGGACACCGGGCAGATAGATACACGTGCTAGGCGGCTGGGAAGCAGGCCAGGCGCTGCCCGCGTGTTCCCTGCCTGTTGTTTGACCTGCAGCCATCGCTGTGCGGATGGGCAGCGATTGTTAAGTTTCATTTCAAGATGGCCGCACTGCCCGGCTCCTGAAATCCACACCAAAGACTCAAGTTTAATTCCTGATGCTGCCGGACCTGCGCCCTACTCAGGCAGAGCCTCCTCCTGCTGCGATCGGCAGTGCTGCCAGGGGTGCTGTTGAGCACCCACACAAGCAGCTTCGGGCTCTATCCCATGTTCTGGCAGGGCTCAGTGCCATGCTGCCTTCCTGCCGTGCTCAGAGGGACAGAAAGAACAGCAGTCCCTTGCTGTGCCTTCCTCTGCTTCATGGGGAAACAGGGGTTTCTTGTATCGTTTATACACGTGCTCGGCTCTTTACCCCTGCCAGGTTTGAGAGGATACCCCTGAGAGCACACCCCAGCCTGAGGACTGCTCCAGGACACTGCTCAGAGCTCACAGCAGCAGCAGGAGTGGTAACGGAACAGCAAACTCCTCAGACACCCACTTCAGTTTAAAACTCTGGGTATTTTCTTCTTAAAATGTGCTTTAAGGCCAAATCAGTGGTTCCAGGATAAGCAAGAACTACTCCCCCAGGAAACACTGACTGGAGCACATGGTGGGGTCTGTGCCCACTGCACAAGTACTCCACATCCAGAAAACCTGATTGGGGGCTTTGTGGTTAATCATACTATTTGGGGGAACAGACTGTGCTCTCCCCTCCACCTGGACTGAACCTGGAGGATTGTTCTGGGCATTGATACTTTAATTTATGCCTCTGTAGATGTGTCTTTTACTTAAAAAAATCCTCCTCTATTTTTTTTATGAAGGACCTAAAGGCTACTTGGTGTTAATCATCCACTGTGCTCAGTCCCTGCAGAAGCGAGGGGGAGTACTTGGCACGCCGAGGGATCATGTCCTAAATCACTGATAATAGCTACATACAGAACTTACAAAACCAGAGATTACAACAGGTGCTTGGTTCAACCTGTCTAGTGCTCTGAGTACCCTGGTCATGCTAAAACCTGCCCATCTCACCCATTCACTTAATAAACACTGTTCAAATACTGCTGGAGGAGTGATTGCTCCATGTAATTAAATCCTGTAGCAACTCTCCCAATTCAAAGGGCAAAGAGAAAACAGGAAAAAGAGCAAATCAAATACATTAACCTTAAAAATAAAGCAGGGACTTGGAAGGTGATTTTGAAATTAGGCAGCCCCAGGCCATGCTCAGCTCTGATGGCCTCAGAGCAGCATTTCATTCACCACTGTAACTACCACCCATCATTCTGAAGGCTGGTTGTTAAAAGCCTGTATATGTACAGTAGGGAATGGATCCCAAAATACTCCAGGATGTGAATTCTACCTAAGCAAGTAAAAGCATAGCTACAAAGGACTAGTTAAAAAGTGTTTAAGCCTCACACTGATCTGTGGTTTAATACAAACAGACTGTTTACAAACTTCAGCCATACTTTCCCACAGTTTTATCACGTTATGAATTGTAAACGCATTTCTGCTTGGTCCTGTTTCTGTTAAGCTCATAAACTAGGCACACTACAGACATTATTTACTCCTATTGCATGAGTTATGAGCACAGGCACTGTTTATGTGTGCAACCCCAACACCCACCCACGCATCTCAGAAAAAGCAAGTGTAGCCTCAATAATGCAAGAAAATCATTGCCAAACAAATACAGGGGAAACGTTAGTACCTTTTATGATGCCAAGTTAGGGCTCCAGGTCTCTTCTCAGCTCTGATGACATCCCAGTGCAAACACAGGAAAGATCATCCCAGGTTTGGGGGGTGAGTGACGACATCCATCCTGGCACACCTCAAGTCCTGGCAAGCAAGTAAAGGAGAGAAAGGTCAGGGCATGTTTTAAAGCAAAATCCTGTTTTAGCTGCTTAGAAAATGTTCCAGAAGGTTTTAAACATTAGGAATGAAATGTTAATCCCCGCAACGCTGACAATATCTGCCTGTTTTCAAGGATAATCACTAACAAAACACCCCGCTCTCCCCAGCTGGTAGGTTTGCCGCCATCACTAACCCAGGCACGAGATGTGCTCTTACTGGTCCCAAGTTTCCTTACAGCTTCAGGAAGTGCCCTAAATCATCCTGTAAAACTGGTGTTAGGATTGTCTCGGCATTCCCAGCCCAGGAAGTGAACAGCAGAACTAACTGGAAAGCAAGACTGAGCACTGTAGATGGGATGGTGAACTTTTAGTGAAGGTATTGGTTAATCACATTCAAAAGAAATATTTAATTGTTTGAAATGATTCATAATCTAATTCTCTTTCCAGTAGTTTTTTGATTCCAAATGATTTCCATCTGAAGTTGCATAAGAATTAGCAAGTACGAAAATATCCTTAAAAAGAGGACACAGAAGTGTCTTATCCAAACTTTCATTTTTAAAGATGTTTCTGATCAGCTGAGCAAGAACACACTGAGAAGACAAAATCTTCCTCTATAAACGATCCTAATAGGATCCTTGGAGATCCATGAACTGCATTTCACAGGCAGAGGAATGTGAGCAACCATTTTTGTTTGATTCTGCATTAATATGCTATTTCCTAAACAAAAGATGCGTTCAGCCGAGTGAGCATGTAAATGTGTCGCTTTGCTGCTACATATTCATTGTACTACACTCCAGGGGAGGACGGTGTCAGGAAGAGTTAAAACCTTGTTTATTTACACGGGAAGATGGGGAATGGTTTCTTTACATTCCTTCCTTGTGCTTGGCGTCAGGCTGCAGTTTATAGTAAGTGGCTGCCAGTAATAAACAAGCACAGCACTTCAGCAAAACACCGACACAATCAAATACAAGGGCCAGTTTATCGGGAAGCCCTGCCAGGTATGGAGCAGACCACATGCACCTCACGAGTCAGCCCATGTGAGATTCTCAAACTATCTTATCTTTTAACAGCTTTACCATAGTGGTTTGGGGGTTTTTCTTCCTATTCTACTACCGGCTTTTCAGTTTTCACTGAAAAAATCACATTGAACTAAAGCAGCTGAATACACTCAAATGAAAATCCTGCAAAAGTGCAAAGAGAATCTGGTTTTATAGCACCTGATAGATTGTAAATATTAAATATTTATACTAAAATCCATCCTTACCCATCATGAATAGCTAAACTTAATAGGCATGCAAAATAAATATTGACATGCAAGCCCTTGCCACTTCATTTGCTCTCTTTTGAAACTGAAACATCTTAAACACTGCCAATACTTCTTGAGTCTCTCGAGTATCAGTCACATTTTGGAATGTCAGGGGTTATTTTAGACGATTGGACTGCAAAATTCTATCCTTCCGTGATGGGGGCCATAAACCTGTGGTTAATCAGCATTTTAAAAGCGGAGGCTTTGGAGGAAAAAGTGATTTCCATCGCCACCTTCTGTCTAAAACAGAAAATGCCCATCCTCCAAAAACCATCCGCACAACAGCCTAAAGGAATCTCACCAAGACTTTCTGATTAAACCTGCAGGCAGTAGCCTGATTTGTTTCTGTATTTATTTCTGTACTTATGCACAGCTATTTATGCCCCCACAGCTACACCCAGCAGCACACCCAGCACACACCAGCACCAGGGCCAGCAGGTAAACACAGGCTCCCTCCACTTCCTAAGCACTTTTAGGCTTTATTAACAATCTGAAAAGCAGGAAATGGCCTGGGACCAGCCTGCTTGGCATGACCACTGCAGTGGAAATCCCTGCCAGTGCCAAAAGACCTGTGAGGGCAGGTGATGCTGGCTGAGGGATTACGTGGTGCTGGTTTTACTGTGCCCAGTGGCACGGTGTATTGAGCCAGGCTTGTGCAGCAAGGCCCACGGGTGTTGAGGGCCAGGAGAGGCTGCTGAGGTCCCTCTCCTTGAGGGAAGAGGCTTTAGGTAAGGGTTCTGTTTGTCTTTCAACAATGGGGCGTTGCCATGGGGGCCCCATTCTAGAAGGAGCTCAGTCCCATGGCAACCAGTGGCCTGCACCAGGACCCCAGTGTGTCTCAGGGCTCTCTCCCGTGGCACACTACTTTCCCCTGTTTCACCCATTTCAGTGCTTAATTCTGGGACTCAGGACCAGAGTGAACCTGTGACGTACCTACTGAAAGGAAATCTGACCCACAGAGAAGATTTTCAGGTACATTTTTTACCAAATTTAACATTTTTTTTCTGTAGAACCATCTACAGTGAGTTCAGGCTCTAACTTCAAACTCTCCATATGTTGACCAGGTTAAAGACGCATGATAACAGAGAGGTTCGGGATCTCTCCTAATCGCTCAGTATCTGCTTAAACAGCTTACAACGTTACTCGAAGGAAGCAGTAAAGATAAAAAGGGCTTCAAGATTATCAAGAAGAGATATAATTATGTTCATAATATTAATATTTAGCTTAGTGTTTGCGGTCAACAATCTCAGCAGAGAAGGTGAGTGGGTCACATACTTGCAAGTTCTAACTGAATTAAACTAAGCATTAAGAGACTTCCTTATATAGTATTAGGAATAAATCTACCTTTGTAATTTAACTTTTCCTCTATCATATTCTGAACTGTGTCTTTAATCCTTACACCCTCACCTCAAATTCTGCACTTTTGCTGTCAGCAAAAGGTTAACATTTAAAAGTAGTTACTAAAACAGGGGAGTAGTGACTTAACCCTGCATTGTTAGTAAAAATGGTCCTTGCTTCATTCCCTCAGACCTCAGAGGCTACAAATGTCATGTGGAAAATGCCTCAGACATAGCTGGCAGAGTAAAGAGCCTGAAGATCTTCCTGCAAGGTAAAGAGCCACTGGGAGAGGAAAGCTGTGAGGGCTCTGCACCGTGTGGTTACTGTTTTCCTCTGTCTCAGCTACTCCTCAGCCACCTGACCAAAAAGCATGTAAAAGATCATGCAAAATTTTAGCTCTGTTTTGCTGAAAGAAAACCAACTCAAAGAGACCCTTATAGCGACCTCATCAAACTGGGCTGGCCTGAACCTTTTGTGAGAAGAATTGCAAATAATTTAACAGAAGCCATTTCTAATGTTTCTTATCCTTTTCCAGCCCCTGGCATAGCAGCAACCAAGAGGAAGTTAAAAAGAACCCAAAAAGTGATGACTCTGGAATGCTTCAGTCATCAAAGCCCCGTGCAAGTAGATGTGCTGTACTTGAAGAACATGAGTAGATATGTGACAGACTGGACAGTAGAGAAGCAAATCCTACACGGCCTGAACAACTTCAGCAATGCAGATGGGAAACCTGCCACCGGCCATACGTGTGTTTCACAAACACAGCACAGGAAGATGTTTCCAAACAAACTTATCATTAGAGAAAAAGGTAGGAAATTCAATATAACAAAGAGAAGTTTAGGTATGTCAGAGGATGGCAGTGTCCTATTTCATACAGCTGATTCCCCAGCAGTTATTTTAGACAACAAACCTATTTGTATCTCTCTATTAAGTAGAAAGTAAGGACCCAGAATTAACATTACTGAAAGCTTCAGGGTTCGGGACAATTCTGTGCTGCTGTTCTCACTTCCTTTGGGAAGGCCAGGACGTTTTGGCAAATAGAGTCTCCAATATTAATACCTGTAGGAAATTCTGTACATTGGAAACTGCATACAAGCAAGAAAACTATCTCTAGCACTTCACTGCAAATTGCCAGCTGTGTCAGTGTGCACTTCAGCTGCTCCTGGCTCTTCCCTTTACACAGAAGCAAACATCTGCTTTTAACCTTCTTTTTGCTCCCAGTGTTTCTGGAAGGGATGTCAGATTGTGTTGTAACAGCAAAGCTGCCCAAGATGAAAGTTTCTGCAGAGGGTTTGGCTGTCCCAAAGATGCACCACAGAAACCATACTTTGCATGGTAAGTACCACTGCTCCCTGCAGTCATGCAAGCAGCACAGGGGCAGTGTAAGGGTAGTAGGGAAAGACAGAGCTTTCACACATACAGCTTTGGTGAAGTTCTCCCGCAGAACCGTTTCTGTGAATAGCTGTATTGCCTCTCCCAAGAGACCCAACAGTCCCTGGCACTTTGTCAGTCCACGGCTGTAATGAGAGAACAGCATTTCAGCCCTGACCTTCACAAGAAGTTACCTGTGTCCAACTGTGCTCCACAAGGGCTCCCAGCTTCCCTTAAAAACCTCACTGGGCTTCAGTGGAAGTTACAAGCCTTACCACTGTGGCTGGGCTTGCACACCCTTTTCAGCAGGAACTCAAAGATATTTGAAGTAATTTAAGGTAAAAAGTTTCTGAGATTATAAAGAGATTTAGAGCTTCCTGTGAAAGCCTATGGGAGACTCTGAACTGTTCCTCTGCTCAGGTCCACCCAACTTAGCCCTGCCCAACCAAAATGAAGAAAACTTTGAGCTGTCAAAGACTTGTAAACACACCTGAAATACTCTTCTCAATCTCATTTTAGATGGAATTCCACCCACAGATGACAAAGATATGCTGAACAGACAGAAACTTAGTATCATCCTCAAAGTGTTCATTGCTGGTATCCTAATAGCCTTTGCAATGTGCTATATAGTGGTGGGTATATGCAAAATTCCCTGCTCGGTAAGTTTCTGAACACAACAGCTTCTCATCTTAGTCCCTCACACTCATCCAGAATACAACCTTGTAAGCATGACTGATGAGCTGAGTCCTTAGAAAGTCTTCCACCTCTAAACTGTCCTCCTTCAGGCATCAGGATTACCTCTCGCAGATGGCCAGCAGATGCCCATGCTCAAAGGACAGGTCACCCTCTCTCATCTTCTAGGCTGCAGGATGAACTATTTAAGCATGATGGTGGAGGGTGTATATATAAGAAGGAGATACTGAGAACAAAAGACACCAGGGGTTGCAATATGCCAACTTCCTCCCATAAAGCCGTATTACTTTAATGCCTAAAAATCCAGTAGCATCACCATGGCCCCTCCAGAAACAAGTGCTGTTTTAGTTCTGAACAGCTGGTATTCCCCATATTCCCCACCATAACCTACAGACCCCTAACTGCTTTTGCTTCCTTCCCCCAGTGCTCGTGGATCAAGGGCATCAGCATCTACAAAAGACAGCCTGCAGGCCACGTTCCAGCATATGGTCAAACAGTACAGCTTTTAACTCCATGTATGATAGAAAAGGCGGCACTGGAAACTTTTGCCTGACTCTCCTTCCCCAGGTACTGCTGGTCATGGTCAACCAAATCTGACTGAGGGATAGCAGGCCTCAATGCAAGCTGTTTCCAAGTGAAGTAATTTCCAAGTGATTAGGTAGTAAGGAGACAGCTAAACCAGTCCCTGGTGGAAGCTGGGTGGGCTCAGCCATCCCCATGCTGCGCAAACAGCACCTGCAGAATGTGCCATCATCATGCCCATGGTCACAAGCAGAGGTGGAAGGGAGCTAAATGAGACAGAAGGGAAGCAGGGACCATCAGCGTGGGGAGGATGTATGGGGATAGGCTAACCCATACTGCTCTTCCCAGAGTAACCTGGCTTTAGGTTCAAGTTACTGGGCTTGAAGATAGACCTATCCCTTCCCCCTCAAAAAATTACACATCCCTGAATTATTAAGGTGCATTTTCATAAAGAAGTTATACAATCTTGTTCTTCCTATCCATTAAGTGAACTGCTGAGGTTGAACAGCTATACTTTACTCCCACCTTTCACTGAGACTTGGGATCAAGTCACTTCAGCTTATCCAGTTACTTGTCTGTCACCCAGCTCTAACAACTGCCCTATAGTGAGGCCGGATTGCTCAGCCCTGCTGACAGACAAGAAGCCTTCTGCATATCACACATACAGAACAAACTGCTTGAGAGCATTCAACTTGCAGAAATTAGCAGTAAATAATTTCAAACAGCAAATGAAAATCACCTCATTTGTTAGAACTTCTGAGGAGAAAAAGGCACATTATTCATTACAAATTATCCATTCAGATCTTCTCAGAGTGTAACTGTAGTGAAAAACGTGCTGTAGTGAGAGGCTGAGAAATTGAACTGAGGCCCTTCAGAGCTATTTCACATAAGCCACTGAACACTGACCAGGTGGTAACACGTTTGGGCCTCTGCTAAGCTGGAAATCAGTTGAACAGGCATAAGGCAAAAGACTTTGTGTGTTATTGCTCCCTCCAGGAGACACCAGGCGTGCTGCTAACTTCCCTTCAGTCCAACCAGAAGATGTCGACCACTAACCCCCAGACCTGAAGAATGCCAACACTGCTGTTAGACTCTATGAATAAGAATAATCAATAAATATTTTATTGCCATTTCAAACCCTGCCTCTTCCAGATTCTTAATTTTTCCCCATAATTTTTCACACGCATAATTTCCAGGATTTTTAATCTTGCTGTGAAATAGTTTAGACAAGGAGCATACATGTAGCAAACTCATCTTACAAATAGCAGACCTTCTTCTCCAGCCTCAACAAGAATAATGCAGATGTTAACTGTTGAGCTTCAGCCCTTCTCTCAGTCTGAGGGGGTGCATCACATTTCCATGTGCTGATAGAAAATGTATTTCTCATCTATTTGCAAGGTACTTCTATCTAATACAGTTGTCAGCACTCAGACATGAACTGCCAAAGGCCACATCTGTCTGCTACAGAGAACAGCTCTCATCAAGTTCCCAGAATCTGCATAAATGAATAGCAGCAGCCTCTGAGCCTCTCGGTGAACAGTGTACCACTTCCGCAGAGTGATGCAGATCCTGTTCATCTGAATCAACATTATCCATGCTCTGCGGGGCACCACAATAATTTCACACAAAATTACTCATTTTCTCACAATAGCATAAAAAATGTTGCACAGAAATGGTAATGACAGGAGGTTTCTGTGGGAAAAGTATGGGGTCACTGTGCTACGTGGGTTTGACACAACCTGGGCAAGTTGAGTTTACTGCAAGAACAGTCCCTAAGTGTAAGCAAGTATTTGAAATGCATGGAATACCACTTACCTTTCCCAGCACCAGGGCACCAAAACCATACATAGAATCTACTTAATATCTTCATTAAACTGCATTTTCACTGTTGGCACTGCTGTTACAATTGCACCAGTAAAAATGTACCATGTCCACCACAATATAGCACACAGGGCTACCACAGAGATGATGAGATACCACAGGATGTGTACAGCCACTGCACAGGGTTTGGTGCACAGGCTGTCTGATGTGAAAACAACCATTTTAAACAAAGCAACTAGCTAAATCATTTGTGAGCTTTGGTGTCTTATGCAATGCAAGACTTGTTAAGCCCTGGTCAGATCCCTCTGGCTGGATGTTCTTAACAAGTGGGAGCCTGCTTTGTTCACCTAGTCCATAAGGACACCCACAGTGCACATGGGAAACAGCCAGGATATGTCATGATGCCTGCCTGCAGGCAGGGAATCATGGAATCTCAGACTGGTCTGTGTTGGAAGGGACCTTAAACTCATCCAGCTCCAACCCCTGCCACGGGCAGGGACACCTTCCACTAGAGCAGCTTGCTCCAAGCCTGTGTCCAACCTGGCCTTGAACACTGCCAGGGATGGGGCAGCCACAGCTTCTCTGGGCACCCTGTGCCAGCGCCTCGGCACCCTCACAGGGAAGAGCTTCTGCCTAAGGGGAAATCCTGCCTAATTTGGTGGCCTTCTATGATGAAGCTACAGAACTGATGGACAGGGGTAGAGCAGTTGATGTCATCTACCTGGACTTGTGCAAAGTGTTCAACACTGTCCCACACGACATCCTTGTCTCTAAATTGGAGAGACATCAATTTGATGGATGGACCACTGGGTGGATAAAGAACTGGCTGGATGGCTGCACACAGAGAGTTGTGGTCAATGGTTCAGTGTCCAGCTGGAGACCAGTAACGAGTGGGGTCCCTCAGGGATCAGTGTTGGGACCGGTCTTGTTTAACATCTTTGTCGCTGACATGGACAGTGGGATTGAGTGTGCCCTCAGCAAGTTTGCCCATGACACCAAGCTGTGTGGTTCAGTTGATACCCTGGAGGGAAGGAATGCCATCCAGAGGGACCTTGACACGCTTGTGAGGTGGGCTGATGCCAACCTCATGGAGTTTAACCATGCCAAGTGCAAGGTCCTACACCTGGGTCGGAGCAATCCCAGGCACAGCTACAGGTTGGGCAGGGAAGAGATTCAGAGCAGCCCTGAGGAGAAGGACTTGGGGGTGTTGGCTGATGAGAAAATGAACATGAGCCGGCTTCAGTGTGCGCTCACAGCCCAGAAAGCAACCGTATCCTGGGCTGCATCAAAAGGAGCGTGACCAGCAGGTCATGGAGGTGATCCTGCCCCTCTGCTCTGCTCTTGTGAGACCTCACCTGGAGCATTGTGTGCAGTTCTGGGGTCCTCAACATAAAAAGGACATGGAACTGTTGGAACAAGTCCAGAGGAGGCCATGAGGATGAGCAGGGACTGGAGCACCTCCTGTATGAAGACAGGCTGAGAAAGTCGGGGCTGTTCAGCCTGAAGAGGAGGCTGCGTGGAGACCTTCCAGTATCTGAAGGGGGCCTATAGGGATGCTGGGGAGGGACTCTTCATTAGGGACTGTAGTGACAGGACAAGGGGTAACGGGTTAAAACTTAAACAGGGGAAGTTTAGATTGGATATAAGGAGGAAATTCTTTCCTGTTAGGGTGGTGAGGCACTGGAATGGGTTGCCCAGAGAAGTTGTGAATGCTCCATTCCTGGTGGTGTTCAAGGCCACATATGACAGAGCCTTGGGTGAGATGGTTTAGTGTGAGGTGTCCCTGACCATGGCAGGGGGATGGAACGGGATGATCTTAAGGTCCTTTCCTATGATTCTAAGACCTAAATAATCTAAATATTAATCCAAAACTCTGTCAGTTTAACCCATTCCCCCTTGTCCTACCCCTACAAGCCCTCTCAACTGACACCCAGCCAGGATTTGCCTTTCACTACCTCAGAAACTTGATGGGTGAATGAACCCACAAAAACCCGATGGGCAGGGACCATCATTAACTGCTATGGGAATTGAGTTGAACTCTTCCCAGGTATACCTGCAGCACAGCGGGGGGAGCCCCGGCCTCCTCTTCCTCCCGCACCGCTCCCCTCCGCCTCAGCGCCCCTCGCCCGCCTCGCCTCCCCTCAGCAGGGACGGGCTGGGCGGGAAGGGGCCGGCGCCGCGCGCGCACGCGCGCGCGCACGCACGCACGCACGCACGTCCGCACGCACGCACGCTCCCGGGCGCGCAACCCCGAGGCGTGAGGTGAGAGGAGGCCGGGGAACCGAACCGGCCCGGCCCGGCCCGGCCCGGCCCGTGAGGGGCAGTCGGGACCGCACCGTAACGGGGAGGAGCCGCTCCGGGGCGGGCGGGAAGCGGGGAGGGCGGTGTCAGGGCAGCCGGCGGGGCGGGGAACGGAGAGCGGGCGGGCGGGGGCCAGCGCTTCCTATAGCAGCCTCACCGGCTGCGCTTGTGGGCGGGGCTTGGGGGGGCGGGGCTTGGCGAGGCGGAGGGCGCCGCCTGGCGGTGATTGGGATGAAGGGTCCGCCAAGGGTGGACAGGGACTGGGATAATGGGGTTGGAGACTGGGATATGGGGAGTGCACGGGGCTGCCGCAGGAACGGGCTGTGCCGCTGTGCTCGGGTCCGTGTCGTACCGGTTCAAGCAGCAGTGTAGATAGGGCTAAATGGGGTGGCAGTTCACAGAGGGGAGCGTGTGCCCCAAGATGTTGTGCGGTGTCACCTGGGGGCATGGGGTGGAAATCAGCCTGGAAGTTGCTCTCGATTCCCTGAGGATCCAAGCAGGGATGTGTATCTGGGGTTGAAGCAGCTGCCATGTGCGTGGAGGGGCTGTAGAGCCTCCGTGGTCCCTGCACGCAGGAGCATGCCTCCTCACGTGGTGTGGGGAGAGGAATGGTCTGGAAAGAGAAACATGAATCTCAATAAATGAGAAGCAAAATTACCTTGTCAAAGGGAGACGTACTCGAGCGCCCACGGTGTAACACAGCTCTGCTCCCCGGTGGTGTGCAGCAGTGTAGAACATCACTGTACAAGTGCTGTTCAATCAGGCCTGTTCATAGAAGCTAGAACACTGAACACTGAAAACGCAGTCGACATGAACACGCTTGAGTTCTGCTCTGCTGTGTCTGTGCCACCTCTAACCTGTTCTTGGTGCTTCTTAGAGGTGCAGACCACCTTCTTGCATAACAGCTGT